ATAAACTGCTCTAATAGAAGAAACACAGAAAATTATGGGTTTTATAGGGCAGGATGTTTATCAGACACAGACTTTGGCTATCTTCCCTTGTTTTAAGGAAGCAAGGGAGAGACTCTGTTCTGAGAAGCAAATGGTGAAGGAATGTAAGAGAAATTCCAGCATCTGTTACAAGTATGTCATAAGAAACAATGGCAAGGTTTACGACCACTGTAACTGAGTCCATACAAACAGAATTATTGATATTTTGGATTTGGAATTTTACATGCATTCTACAAAAATAAACTAAAAAAAAAAAAGAGTATTTATTTTTCTGAATAACATTATCATTATTCATTAATTCATTGTTGGTACAAGATATTGCAAATAAATCTGTATGTTGTCAGGTTATAGACAGGTTAACTACAGCAGTGCTGTGAACATGAAAGATCAAAAAGAAAGCAATTATATTTCCCTTATCTGCATAAGGTTATAAGAAGAGCTGTGATCTAATTTATTCTTTCTTCCAATCTTTAGCTGAAATCAAGAACATTCAAAATTATACCATGACCTAGTTATACTATGGACTAGTGTGGCAATAACAACAGATATCCCTAAGAAAATAATTTCAACCTCAGATGACAAAAATCGAGAGAAACCATGAACAACCTATTACCCAGAAGCAGCAGTTTAATTGCGTACTTAATTTCAGCCTGTAGCCTAAAAAATACAGACTCTAAAAGGAAATAGTAGACTTTCAGAAGATTCTATATAATTGCACAGTTCAGGTCTTCTCATTAGCCAATTTACACTCCTTCAGATTTACAGCTCTGAATGTAACAAAATCTTTGTCACATGGTGCACTTAGGATTTTCACCCTTCAAATTAATTTCTTTTTCTCACAGGAAACTAATTCAATAGCACCCACCGAGTTTTAGGCTTCCATTTGCTGCTGTGAGAGCAGCCTTTTCAGGGCAGTACAGCCCAGTACAACACTAAGTATGTGTCTGATGTTAAACCTCTGCTGAACTTTCCTCAAGGTAAATGGGATGCAAATGAATGTTTGGTTGTTTTGTTTAATATGGATGATCTCAAGCACCTTTGAACTGTTCTGCTGCCAGCTGCCACTTACCACTAACAGAGAAGTAAATTTTATAGGGTATGCATTGGGTCATTTTAAACTAATCTCTGCAAAAAAATTCATTTGGAGTAAAAAAAACCTGTCTGATAATGCCACCTCTGCAAGTTGGTTTGATGGGTGTAAGAAAGTGGGAGAAAAGCCCAAGGTATTCTAGCTGGCAGTGTAGTCACACAGCTTACAATTTACTTCCACAAACATTTATAAAAACACAGCAAAATGAGCAGTTTGTGTTGTGTATCATAATGTTCAACATCATGTACAGTAATACCTCCATGAAACCCAAGCTGTGTTGCTTCTGCTTCTTTGTACAACACTGTGCACATGACTAAGAGCAGCAAGTGACAATGTTCTCCAGTTAACTGAGATTGATTATTGGTGCTTCAGTACATCCATAATCATGATGCACAGAGAGACAGAATTATTTTCATACACTGACCTGACTGGTAGAAAAAGCCTTCTTTTCTAACTGAACTGAACATGTATAGGATGCATGCAATATGCTCTAGAGGAATGGGCACTGTGCTAGCTGCCAAAAGGTCTCTAGCTATACTCATGCATGCATGCCTCTGAGCAAGACAAGTTGTACATGCTGACTGCATTTGCCACTCTTCAGTCACAGTGGTCACCACTATAAAGAACATAAATTTACCAGTGGTTACCACTCTGCACAGTAGTATCTGAGATACTACTGATTTACTGTGAACAACAGTGAGAATGGGAAAGAAGCATAAGAAATGAGAGTGGTTCATGGTGGAAAGTATGGAAATTGTAGGTCTGGATTTTATTTCAGTAACATTGGTTTTACAGCTGGTTAACTGTACTGACTTCAAGAGAATTGCTGCAGATTGTTACTAATGAAGTGACTATAGAGTGTGAACCTCTGTATCTGCTTACAGCAACAGGAAACTGAAGATTTTTTAGCAGAAAAATGGGTGAGCAAATTTTTTCCTTTTCTTTTGCAGCATATTTTTTTAAAAGCCATTTCCAAAAATCTCAGAGGACTTAATATTTTAAAGAAGTCACTGTAATGCCATAAAATCTTGGAAGTTATAAAAATATCTAAGATATTGGGTCTTCATATTTGGTAACTTCACTGTTTGGTGAATAGCAGAACTATTTTAGAGTTTAGGTGAGTCTTCTAAATCAGAATCATCACACCTTTCTGGAGGATATGATTCCTGGGAAACAGACATATCAATAGCTTTTCCTCTTCTTCCTTCCTGAGCAATACTGTCTAACTGTATTATTATTGAAACAACAAAAGTTAGTGCTACAGTAAATCTCATTTGATCAAATAGATTAAACAGTACTTTGAGGTTGTGGAAATGGACAACACACTGCAGACTCCTTAATGTTTAAGGACTGATTAATTAAATACTTTTTAAGGTGAAATATGGTTACAAATAGCTCAGTAATAGAAGAAGCAGTAATATATCTATGCCATAATGAATTTTCTGTATTAGGATTAACACACCAAATTGCAGATAGTTAAATAAGCATTTAAATTATTTATTTTCTCATTATTGCATTTTTCTCTAGATACTAAGCTCCATGTAAC